GATACTTCATATCCACTCTCTTGATATTGATAAAACTACCAGACATAAAGTCAGCAAGGATTAGAAGAACTGCATACCACCACTAAACAACATTATATAATTGACATTTTTAGAGTACTTCATCCAACAAGAGCAGAATGCAAATTCTTTTCAAGTGCCCACTGAAACATTCACTAAGATAGACCACATCTACATCATAAAGCATACTTTGACACATTTGAAAGAATTAAAATCCAGTTAGAGTGTATTTTTAACCATAATGGAATCAAACTAGAAGTCAAACAACACATTTCCATGTAATCCATGTTTAAAAGAGGAAGACTCAAGAGAAGTAAAAAATATATTAAACAGAATGAGAAGAAAACAAATCATAATTTTTGTGGCACACAGTGATAAAAGGAAAATTTATAGCACTGAATGCTTATATCATAAAAAAAGATCTCACAATCAACTAAGCTTCCATCTTAAGAAAATAGGAAAATAATAGCTAATCAATGTGTATAAATTTTCAGTTAAGCAAGATGAAAATTTCTAGAGGTCTGCTATAAAATATTGTACCTGTAGTTAACCTGTAGTTAATACTGTACCTGTAATTAACAATACCATCTTGTACACTTAAGGTTTTGTAAAGAGGGTAAATCTTGTGATAAGTATTCTTATAATAAAAGAAAATAGAAAAAATAAGAACAAAATAAACCTAAAGCAAGTGGAACATGGTAATAATGACAAAGGATTAAAAATCAATGAAACAAAGCAGAAACACAGTGGAGAAGTTGATCAGAATAAAAGGATCATGAAGGAATACTACAAATACTTCTTCATAAATTTGACAGCTTAGATGAAATTGACCAATTCCAATTCCTTGAAAAACACAAACCAAAATTTACCTAAGATAAAATAGATATTCTGAATAATCCTCTGAGTATTAAAGAATTTGAATTGTACTTAGAAACCTTTTGTGGTGGGGTATAAAAGGTCCAGGCCCAGGTGATTTCCTTGGTGAATTCTACTATATGTTTAAGGAGGAAATAACACCAATTCACACAATGTTCCAGAAGGTAGATGAGTAGGTAATTCTTCCCATCTCATTTTATGAGATGATTATGATCCTAATCCCAATACTCAATGAAAACAGTACAAAAAAAGAAAACTGTCAACCAGTATCTTATGAACTTACATGTTAACTTTTTAACTTACATGTTAAAATCCTTCACAAAATATTGGTAAAGACCAAATCCAACCATATATAAATAAAATTATATACCATGACTAAGTAGGATTTATTCCAGGTGTGCAATGCTGCCTTAAATAAATCAGTGTAGGGGTGCCTGGGTGGCTCAGTCATTAAGTGTCTGCCTTCGGCTCAGGTCATGATCTCAGGGTCCTGGGATAGAGCCCCGCATCAGGCTCCCTGCTCCTCGGGAAGTCTGCTTCTCCCTCTCCCACTCCCCCTGCTTATGTTTCCTTTCTCGCTGTGTCTCTCTGTGTCAAATAAATTTAAAAAATCTTTTCAAAAAATCAGTGTAATCCACCACATCAATGGGTTAAAGAATGAAAATCATATGATCATAACAGTTAATGTATAAAGAGCATTTGGTAGAATCCTATACACATTCATTGGAAAAATTCTCAGCAAGGTAGGAACAGAGTGGTAATACCTTAACTTGATATAAAGCATATATAAAACGCAACAGCTAAACTTACACTTCCATTATGAAATACTGAAATCTTTCCTCCTGAGACTGGGAATAGGGTAATACTATCTGCTCTCACCCCTCCTATTTAATAATCTATCGGGAGTCACATCTAGTACATTAGGCAAGAAAAGGAAATAAAAGACCTAGAGA